TGTTGTCACATGTTATAGAAGATCCTTTAAATACCATTGCATTGCAAAAATAAATAGGCGCTTTAAAAAAATACAGTACTGCAAACAGAGCCTCAAGCCAAGCATTGCCAGCGCCAACTAATGAGAGTTACAAAGCATTAGAAACTTAAGACTAACAACACAATGCCAACACATAAGATAAGGGTGAAAACAGCGGTATACTTACCTAACGTGTCAAATGCCAATGAAATTACATGAAATGATTTGTCCCATACATCACTGCAGCGTACATCTAGCAAGCCCTCCAGGATAGCACATATCTTCTCTATGACTGTGGGGTTAGATCTCACCCCTTGATGTCTAGCCTTAATCTGGTCGATCCCCTGAGACACCATGTTTTCATCAATGCAATTATCTATTAATCCTTTGAAAGTCTCCACAGCACAAAATCTAGCTTCTTCAAATTCACTTGCTAATATATCTGAGAAATAATTTGAAAGAGAGAGATTAATATGATTTGTAAGTAACATATAACAACCAAGGAATGCCAATAAACTTAGAAATGCCAAATTTATGAAAATCACCAACCTCCAAGTGAAGTAAACACTAGTGGGAGCTTTACAACAAATATGTGCTTATTCTGACTATAAACTTTTCTAGTGCCAATATTTAGAAGCCGTGCAATTGAAGCGAGTTCATCTCCTGACTTTCTTTCAGTGGAGACTGACATCCCGAGAGAACACATGAGATCCAATAGCATATCAGGTTTAAGCTGCACAGTTGGGCTGTCACCAACAGCATGCAGATTCTCCAATATACTCTTTGTCACAATTGGTTGACGCAGACCCAACAGTGCTGTAAAATACTTTAAGATGGTATTGGAAGGCTTGGATGCCATGAGAGGAAGGCAGCCCTTAAGAGCATCTAACATATGTATGACCTCCTTAGCCCCCTTGGGTCCTTCTGCTGCTGAACCAGTGTTTGCATCATTGGATCCTCCAGCAAGCAGCAGAAGTCGTTCAAAACATCTTGCGATTCCGTCGCTTGCCGGAACCAAAATAGCTTTTCTCTGAAAACTCAGGAGAATATCTCGCAAGCAAGAATGAGATTGATTTCTCACCTGCAGACCATTAAAGTAAACCATGAATAATCTTCAACACGTTGATCGAACACTTGCATTTTGGACTGAGTACCAAGGAAATCATTCGCATAATCTTATACTAGATGTCCCGATAAGACTGTAAGCCACCAATTTTCAACTCAGAATTGATGGTAGTTTACCTTGGGGCGATCATCGGTGACGAGCCGTAGCACCACGGCGTAGAGCGGCTCCACCGCCTGCCAGCTGGACTTGTCTCCCGCGGATATCAAGCGCGCGAGGCACCTCACGCCCGCCCTCACGCCGGAGTCGGGCGTGGAGGGGAACTCGAGCACGCGCGCCACGTCGTCAGCGACCTCGCGGCCGCGGGAGCGCACCACGGCGGTCGGGAGCGCGGGGATCGCCGCGGAGAGGAACGCGAGGAGCGCGCCCGCGACGTGGCTGTCGGCGGCCGCGGGCCCCGCGCGGGCGAGCGGGCCCAGCGCGGCGGCCGCCGCCCCGAAGTAGGCGACGGTGGAGGCGGGGACGCCGCTGTCCCTGACGGTCTGCGCCAAGGAGGCAGTGGTGGCGCAGAGGTGCTGGTCGTCCTCCCGCGGCGAGGCGCCGAGGCGGGCGAGGATGGCCGCGGCGAGGTCGGCCTCGCCGGAGAACAGGGAGAGGTCGGGGTCGTCGCCGGCGACCGAGCGGGGCGTCTGGGGGAGATCCTCCATGTCGACGTCGGCCATGGTTGCGGTGGCGGGCGGGCGGTGGAGCGGCCGAAGCTTTTAGGGGGAGGAGGCGCTAGGGTTTTGGGGAGGTTGGGGGAGACGGGCTGGCTCGTTTTGTTTCGTGGGGCGCGAATGTGGGTGGGCCTTTCTGGAGGGATCACTGGGCTGGATGCACATCGAATGAGTTAGGGATTTCATTTTGTGTGGGCTATGGGCTGGCCAGAGGGGAAATAAACCAGCCCGTAACAGGTAACACAACTACTCAAAAAAAAAACTTGCATTTGTCTTTTTTGTTCCAAAAAAACTACTCGCATTTTGCGTATCGGGCGTCCTACTGCTATTATTTTTCTTGTTCGAGAAGGAGGTTGAAACCCCCGGCATATGCAATCCGACTGCTAAGCATGCACTCTCTTTTTAGGTAATTTTTTTCAACGTGGGACTAGTGCTAATAAACTCTTCCGATTCTCGAGAATGAATCTTTGATTGGATGGTTAGGGAGATGAGTGTACCTTCAACATGGTATGGTCAAACCTCTGTGTTTTATTAAGATGGTGTTATCTTTTAATAGGAGAAGATGTTATTGTAGATAGCGAGGTACAGGTGATGACTCTGCCAATCTTTGATCCATCCACAATAGGGGTCGTGTGGTGTGTTTGTGTGAATGTGTGTTTCAGCATTTTACTCGGTCTTTGTAGAAAAAACTCTAAGAGAGCATATGACAACAACAATCATGTTTAAATATTTTCATGATGGCTTTATTAATTTACTAAAGTTGCGCGCTTCTTGCGCCTTTTTCTAAAACAACATCGATCTTCAACAAGAGCTCACCAATATGAGCTCGTTCTCGGGTCATCGACAAGAACTATAGGGTTCATCAAAAAGTGCCCTGGGGGCTCGGGTGTATGGGTCTCCAGTAAGGATTGATTTTAAGGGACTAGTTTGTAAGGACATATGTGGAATTTCATGAATTCCAAAGCATATAAAGAAAGTTTGAAACATATCGTTCACAAAATCATGGGTAGAACTGACTGAATAAAAATGTGAGTAAAGCGACAACAATGACACTTACACACAAGTACCATTTATGACAAAGCATGCGTATTTCTTCGATAAATTTTGTGATCTTAAACTGACCGAAGTCACTACAGGCATTTCACTAGCGACCAATGCCTCATCAGTCACTACAAAAGAATTTTGCATCGACGATAGACACATGGAAACAAATCTAAGAGCATGTCCAACAACCCATGTAAAAACTTCCCGTAAAAGTAGTTTTACGGCTTTTACGGGATGACGGCATCCATATAATTTACAAGAAGTTGTCTGGTGAGGTATTTTCTTAGTTTCTATGAACATCTTCCCCATGTGTAAACACTGCGTTTTTCTATTCCCCATTAAACTAGCATACAAAAGACATACTTTTGCATTAAACAAGCATACAGATGACAGATTCATATCTATAGTATCGCCATAATAATCTGAACAATGTTATATCAGGCAGACAGGCACACATATCTGATAACAATTTTAAATCAACAATTTATGAAATTTGGTTTGAAATTGAAATTGAAATTCAAACATAACAAAATGGTGTAAATCATTCGAAATAGAACATAATACGAAGAAGTTTATTGACCATGAGGCAGCCACAAATGCTCAACTAGATCATCACAAAGTTGTTCATGACCCGCATGGTTTTCAATCTGTCGTTATGCTAAAATGATGGTATTTAATTTTGTTCCCCTCATTCGCATAGCGATAGTTTGGTGGCTGCTCCCACTTGTCCTCTATGATCATGTTATGCAATATCACGCACATGATCATGATGCGCCACAAATCCTTTTGATGTCAGAATCGTACAAGCCCACAGACAATGGCAAAGCGAGCTTGTAGATCCCCAAATGCCCGTCTGACATCCTTTCTACATACTTCTTGACGCCTACCAAAGCTAATATTCTTGTTTCAGGGAGATTGGGGAGACGGGCTTGCTCGTTTTGTTTCGCTGGACTCGACTGTGGGTGGGCCTTTTTGGTGAGATGGGTGTAGTTCTAACGGGTAGTTTGGGAATTCATTTTGTGTGGGGTATTTGGTTTCCAGAGGGTAAACAAATTAGCTCGTAGCACAACTACTTGCATTTTTAGCATCAAGCATCCTACTGCTAACTGCTAAGCACGCATTGCGTTTTTTATTACGCGACAAGTTCTAACTCTCCTTATTCTTGAGAATGAATCTTTGATTGGATTATTAGGAAGGTGAGTGTACCTTCGACATGGTAAGGTCAAACCTTTGTGATTTATTAGGATGGAATTAGATTTTAGTAGGACACGATTTTTCTGTACATAGCGAGGTACAAGTGGTGACTTTGACAATCTTTGACCTGCAACTCCGTCCCCAATAGGGGTTGTGTGATGGTGTGCGTGCATGTGTGCTTCAACATTTTACTCGGTGTTTCGTGCATGTGTGCTTCAACATTTACTCGGTGTTTGTCAGAATAAAAACTCTAAGAGAGCTTGTGACAACATTGATCTTGTTTAACTACTGTCATGATGGCTTCATTAATTTAAAGTCGGACGATTCTTGCATCTTCCTTCTAAAACAACATTGATCTTCAGCAAGAACTTGCCAACAGGAGCTCATTCTCGGGTCATCGACAAGAGTAGCTGGGTTGATTAAAAAGTGGCCAGGTACCTCGAGTGTATGGGTTCCCAGTAGGGATCAAGTTAAAGGGACTAGTTTGTAATAATGACATATGTGGAATTAGAGTGGAATTTCATGAATTCCAAAGCATCTAAAGAAAAATTGGAATGGAACCATGATTCTAGTTTTCAATTCCATGTCCATATCCTTCACAAAAACACGAGTAGAACTGACTTTGATAAAATTTGGTTCATTGAATGAAGATCTGATTGGCTGAAAAAGAGCAATTGATTGCTAACTTAAAAACAGATAGGTACTAATTAGATTGGACACTCTTAATAAAAACGTGAGTAGAGCGACAACGAGTACACTTACAGACATGCACCATTTACAACAAAGCATGTGTATTTTTTTTTTACCAAATTATGTGATCTTGAACTGACCAAAGTCGCCGCAGGCATTTCATCAACAACCCATGCCTCATCGGTCAATACAAAAGAATTTCACATCAATAATACATAGTGGAGACAAATCTAAGACAAAACACGGAGAGAAGATACAACTACCCGACCAAACATTTCGGAGGAACTCTACCCCCCCCCCCCCTCCTCTCTCTATTTCCCTCCTTATTATCACCAACTTTATGGGTTTTGATTAAAAGAACTTACTCCCAGATAGCAGGGAGTTCCATATTCCACCACCTTGGGGGTGAGGCGATTTGCCAAAAATTGTAAAGATAATATCATTTAGAAGTTAAATTTTTTTTGGATGCATATATATAGATGTTTATACCTTTTTTTAATTCTATACCTATCTGCAAAATTTCAGTAAATAATAAAATGATTCATATGCTATATAAAAAATATTAATTTGTGGCTGCAAACCCTTTGATCCATGTATTTGTCTTTTTTGTTCACACTACATATAAAAATAAGATCATACAAAAGAAAATATGCACTCACATGCCACCACCTCTATTTTTCTGGTCTTTTTTTAATGCGAGAACAGATGGAAAAAGAATCTAAAGATGCTCGGAGTGCCCCACAAAAAAGAGGATCAATCATTAAAGTAGAGAGGGCCCTAGAAAGACCTCAGGGAGGCCAGAATTGAGCATGGCCGGAGTTGCTTAAAAGAGTCAAGGAGGGCCGGCCAACTCGGTTGTGCGATGGGTTGGCGATCCACCCACACAGCCAGGAAAAGAAACAGCACGCCCGACCATCGTCTCCTTATCTTCTCTGTCACCTTTTGGATTGACATCAACCTGACGGACGCGCGGCGCGCGCATGGCGCCCCTCCACTGACAACAACCGGCCTGCACTTGTTTTCCTCTCTGGAAGCTCTATGTCATCTCGCGCGCGCGCGTGGTTAGACGCTGGCGCAGCGCCAGGCGATAGATTATTAATGTTTACGCCATCATGGCGGGCACCCTCCTCCCAACCCCCCTCCCATGGCGCCGTCGGTGTCGCGCGTGCAATTGTCTAATCGGCGACGGTAGCAGATAGCCGCTGTTCTTTACTCTATGGGCTTCGAGCTTGTCCGGAGCGAATTAACCCATCGCCGTCTGCCATCTCTCGGCGCCATTCGACGCGTGCAAGATAAGAGCTGAAGACGAGTGAGTCACCGGGGTAAATTAACTAGGTTAAACATGTGGTCTCGCCATTAAGAAACTGCGCCCCTTTGGTCGCCGTCCGAGGGCCGGTTAAAAAAACGCTTGAACAAGCCTCGCCGTCCGCTGCCGTCATCTCTCTCAGCAAGACCGGGTTGCTGTTGCTGATCGGATCGGGACAGCGACCAACTAAAAGCTCCGGGCTGCGGGCTGGAGTGATATGGGCGCGGGGTTTGGTGGTCTGCCATTTGCCGATCGGTCCAGAGGCGGCGAGGGCAGGTGCCGCGGGTCAGCCCAGCTCAGCTCGCCCCCGCTTTCGCCAAAAGGTCGCCGGAGAGCCGCAACCTTTTCTGGATAGATAGACAGATAGATCCACCATGGATCGCAATACGCTGGCACGCGTCGCGCCGCGCGCGCCTATATATACCTGCTGCTGCCGCGGTACTGTAGTGGCAGTTGTTGCTGGTAGCTAGCCGGTCTCTCTCACTCGCCATCGCCATGCATTCATTCCTCTCCTTGCTCGCTCCAGGCCTCACCGTTCTCCGGTTGCTCGTCGGAGTAGGAGGAGGGGGCGAGCGAACGGTGCTGGAGAAGCAGGGCACGTGCTCGATCCATATGGACCCAAAGCGGTTGCAGCACGTGCGCTCCTTCTCCAGCATGGCTTCTCGCCCCGTCGACGGCCGGAGTTCGTCGCCCTCCGGCGCCGTGCCGGTGATGTACGGGGTTGCTACCTACCGATCGGCGGAGCGATGGATGGCTTTGATGCATCGGTAAG